CCTATACATTTCATCAGGATTGTATGTCCATAATGAAGAAAAAAAGATAATTTAAAAAAAAAGAAAAAGCATGTCGACAGCTTTAAGTTTGACAATTCACAAAGAGTATTAGAGTATTAGGGTATTAGGGCTCTCTGCAGGTACTTGTCTTTGTCGTCCACTCTATTCAGCTGGCTTTTGAAACACACGTCGAGAAGGTGGAGGCCGGGTGGTGAGGGTTACGTGGGCGAGAAACACAAAAGTAACGCAATAGTTACTTTTACTAGTAACTAATTACTTTTATTGTGGAGTAACTCAGTTAGTAACTCAGTTACTTTTTGGGAGAAGTAACCAATAACTATTACAAATTACTTTTTCAAACTAACGTGCCCAACACGTTTTATGTGTTGAAACTCATAAAACACACTATGGGTGAAAATAGCTGTCATGAAGTGAAAAAATAAGTTTTTCATATGTATGTTTTTACGTCCTCATTTATAAATTTTGACTTTCACCTGCAAGTATGTAGGATATGTCCTAGTAAGCTCATCTCACCCAAAGTTGGAATTTTTTTAGCAGTCTTCTTTGCTAAATACCTTCAGCTCAGTCAGTCTGGACATTTATCTATGAAAATCTATTCGGAAGCTTTGCCACAGAAAAAATGACAAGTGCATTAAATGCATTCACTAAATGACGTTTAGCGCTCTTCTCGACAGAAAATGAACCTTGCTCCAGTCTCAAGTCTTTTGCTGCTTCTAACTATGCCCAAACTTGTATAAGCATCCCACAGCATTCTACTACCACCACTGTGGTGTTCAAGGTAATGTGGCTAGACTTCCTCCATATACTGCGCTCTACACATGGGTCCAAAAGTCCTATATGTGTCCTTTGTTCGACTTGCTGCTAGCTTTCAAAAACAGATGGACGGAGGGATAGTCTGTCCGTTGTTCTGTTCTTCAGTCTGCCTGTCCGTCCATCAGTCTGGCCGGCCAGCTGGCTGACCAACAAACAGACAGATAGATAGTTTTCTTGTTGTTACAGTGATAATAAAGATTCTTATCCAAATTTTCCTTTAACACAGGAAGATCTGACATGGATAATGTTTGTTTTTCAGAGTTTTCGAATAAGGACTTCAAAGAACAACTTCACTGTGATCAAATTATACTCAGAGTATTCCTTAAGGCACTTGGTGTCACTAGGTTTTATTTTAGAGTATATTATTTAAAGGCACTGAACCCCAGCCAGTTGATTTTTTTCTTCCTTTATTTCAGAATCATGAATACCTTTACAGTTATATAAAGCTCTCAAGACAATAGGCTAATGTTTCTTGCTGCCACGTGAAATAAATGTGAAAACATTTATTGTATGAAGATTTTGCAAAGTGTTTGGAACATATGTTATGTATTTATTTTATTATACTAAACATTAGAATGTACACATTCCTTTAATGTTCTTAGATGTGTTATCTATTCTTTGAGGTGCAGTATTTTATTGGTTTATTTATGATTCAGGCACACTTTAGTTTGAGTCTGAAGCATCAACAGTGGCAGTCTTCTAAACCTATAACAGAGCCAAGAAATAAAATATGGTGCCTGACTTTTCAAGCGCTTTGAGGTTAATTATTCAGGACTTTACTCACCGCACAACAAGCCAAGAAACAGCAGGATAGCATGCCGGGTAGAACTTGCTTCTTCATTATTCCCTCAGAGACTGCTACAAGTTTAAACTCATGTGTTCAGCTTTAATTGAGATGCACAAATTGTCTGGAGTCTGGCGCCTTCAAACACAGCAAAAGGAAATGTAAGTCGGCATGACCTCAGACATTCTCTATACTAAGCGAAGCAATCAGTGATACGTTTTGAATCAGCAACAAGGATAAGCTGTTGAATCTTACAATGATAAATTGTGAGTGTGAACTTTTTTACAGGTACATCTGTTTGATGATTAGAAATTTGTACTAGCTCTCCACAATAAATGAGCAATACATGAATGTCTGATGGTTTAATTAAAGTTTGGCATCTATCTTATTAAAAAGCAGTTAAAAAGCACAATGTGGCTGAAAACATTGTGCTTTCATGTAAGAACGAAGCATAATAAGTGAATATGGAGAGACAATGGAAATAAATATAAAAAAGAGGTCTAAGCAAACCAATTTCAGCAAAACTACATGTTTCCTTTCTATCATTAGCAAAAAAATAGGCATTAGAGGTTTTATTTTGACCTTTTCCGGATTCTCCAGGGTTTTAGACTTTCTGTACTAATTATCTACATCATTCTTAAAGATTAACAAAAGTTATAAACATACTCTTTGAATACCTTCACTTTTAGATAAAATCAAATAATTATTATAAATAAGTCAGAAACCTGAATATACTGCCTTTACTTAATTTTGCATGTTTGTTAAAAGGAGATATTATGTGTTATTATTGGAAAGACTTTCAGTTTAAAACAGGACAGAGACTTCCTTTGCACATGATGAGATGCCAAATTTTGCATATTTCAGGTCACGTCTACAGCAAGTGGCTTCAAGGTAAATCGATTGAACAACTTTCAACCTGGAAAACAACGGCCTCAAGCAGCACACCAGGAGGAGGCTTTCCTCTATCTCTAAATTTAGAATATCATATAGCAGCTCTATTGCCAAGTCTTTAAGGGTTTTGTTGACAGCAGAAAGCTGATATACTGTAGATCCTTATGTTTTCCACCTTGACAGGAAAAATAGCTTTATAGAAGCTTTAGTAATCTGTTAATAATAACAGCGATAATATCTTCTTTTATCTTTTTGATTTCTCAAAACAAAAAACCTAAATTTTTTTGTGTTTTGTCTAATAACAACATATAACCTTTATTGTCCTGCAGTGGGGAAATTTAGGTAAACAACCATTAAAGTGGAAGGTAAATTGAAGCAATCAGAACAAAGCATACATTTTGAAAAAGAAAATAAGAAAAAGCGACTTTACAGTCAGGGTAAATTTACAGAGTAAAAAGAATCTGTGCAGTTGTTAAAAATGACAAACTTAGATGCAGAGAAATTTGCAATCAGACCATTTCATAAATGTGAAACATATGTGGGTTTGTGTGGGTAAAAAGTCAAAAGACAATTTGAAATACAATAATGCTTTTTCTCTGCAATAATCCTTTGTGGTGCACCCTAGGTGCAGCACTTTGTCACCAAGGAGCACTCCAGCTCTGTAGCAGCCTAATGCATAGGGAGGGAGATGTTGTCTGGCAGTGATGTTATTTTTGCCAGAGTTCATCATCATCTCTCTCACTACCTATACTAGGTTGTGGGGATGTCCTTGGAACAAACAAGTTTTCCTTTTAATGCTTTTAGATGTATTTTGTTGATGCAGGTTGGCAGAATACTTAGAAAAATGATGTTTAAAAAAGGACATCCAGACTGAGATGATAGAGTATCATTGCTGATGAATGCTTATCAGAAGCTTTTTACTCAGGTCTCTGCCTACTGATTATCTTATTATTGTGATATAAAAAAAGATGATTTGAGGTATATTAGCATTGTCATGGAGGGTGAATACTAATGCATTAGCTACTTACAAAGGGAAATATCCTATATTTACCAAATATCACATCAAAAACTTGTCAACAAGATAATATTATCAGCAAGTATCGCCAATTTTATAATTTCAAAAGTGATTTTTAGATAAGTAGGTCAGTGCTTACTAATAATTACACTTATCATGTGTGTCTGTGAGAAGTTTAAATGTTTGCAGTGAAAGAATAAATTGTCAACTATTGTTTTTCTTTTGAAGACACGGTTGAACATTTTTTTATTATTAGACAGAATGGAGAGCAACATAGAACTCAAAATAAACTTTTATAAAGTCAAACATACATGATCTAAGTTAAACACATACCCTCCTGTTAATATTTAATTGCAGGAAAGTTGCAGGGAAATCACCTGTTTCTAATACCCATCAACAAAGACCTTGCTTAATTCTGTCTGGATATTTGACCTTTCTATTCTAAATAAATAGTTTGAGGTTATTCATTTTCTTGCTTAAACCTTACAATTAGGGGTGGTCCATAGATTTGAAGTGATGGAGCATTCCACAAGCTTATTGTTAACCTGCTTTACCGAGTCCAAAACCCGTTTTTATGTGAGTGTATGAATTTAAGAAGAATAACTGAAGGTAGACCTTGTGCAGTGCTCCATCACCACTAGTTATGTAGCAGCATCTAGTATATGCTTTTAGGTTTCAAGGCATCAAACTGACACCTACATTCATAAACTATTCCAGAGATAGTAGTTTGCTTGACTGTGATTTTTCTCTGAACATTCCATAAATTTTGCTTCCAAATTGTGCCTCTCTTTGGCGGTTTTTAAGACACACCTCCCTGGGAGAAGAACCCAGGGAATACCTAGAATTCACTGGAGAGACCAGATGCAGTCTGGCCAGGAAAATCCTTTGGTTCCCCCAGAATCGGCAGAAGGACAGGGATTAGATCTTTACAGCTGCTGCCCTTACAATCCCATCTCAAATAGGTTTAAGAGGATAGATGAATAGATAGATGGATAAAGAAGACAGATTCAGTTTAAGACACAAAACACCATGAGTGGAAGCCGAAGAAAAAAAAATTACGAAGTGCTGGTGGTCAATTTATGTCACACTTATGAAGAAAAGTGCTTAAAACTAATTTTAGTACAAGTACTACTGCCAAAAAACAAACCTAAAAAATACACAAACAAATGTATTAAAGGCATCTGAATATTTCTTGCTGAAATAATTTCTGCTTTGTGCAGAATATAATATAATATAATATCTAGGAAAGCTATGTACCTCAATGCAAGAAAGTTATCCATCTAAATCTTTTTTTTTTTTTTTGTTATGCATCTTTATTCTATTCTATTCCATTGTTTTTTTATTATTATTTATTGCTTCTATACTAGTTTACGTTTGGTTACGATAAAACCTTAACGTAACCAAAAAGAAATGTTGTTTTATGTCAAATAAAGGTCCGCCCACCAAGTAAAGAAAGTTGCATCAGAATATCCGGAAGACGTCATCAGCCCTCACCCGGTTCGTACACTGCCTACAGTTCGCTTCTTACAGCATAAGTTAGCTCTGAATGTGTGCTCGTTTTTGACCCGTTATGGCTGAACAGACTGTGGTCGATAAAATGAGTGAATTGCAAGTGGGCGGGAGCAAAAAGGTGATGTTTTTGTCTCTATAACGTGATAAAAATAACTGTTATAAGCTAACCGGTAGCTAGCCTAGCCTATGCTAAGATACATGCTGACATTTCGCCACCTGCAATGTGGCGCTAACGCTTCGGCTAGCCGATTTGTTGGCTCTATCTTTACATTTGCTTTTTATTTAACTTATACAAGTTAAGTTTGTGTTTAATGTTATTAATGGTTACTTATTTATATTCCTTTCTTTTTTGTTCGCTTTTTAAAAACCATACATTTGGGCGAAAAATGCTGTTGGAAACATTTCATTTTCATTTTAGTGAATTTATTCATGTTTTTCTACCTTAAACTATTTAGTTATTCTTGTAAGTAAATGGAGCGGGTTTTTATCCTGTGCACAAATATTTTCTTGTTTGTTCTGTTATTGTTTCCCCTCCTTTTAAAATATTCTGTACTGCAATTGAGCTACGCGTAATCAATTGTAGATCAGGGCATAATAAGTAATATTGCTTAGTATATACTCTTGTAAATAAGTGTTCTTGCTGTTTCCTTGTACGTTTTAAAATTAAGGTAGAAAGAAATGTATATGTATTATATAATTTATTGTTATTTTGAATGTTGTTTTGACAGGGGGGAAATGAAAGTGGTAAAGATGGAGGGAAGAAAAAAGGCAAAAATACCACTGCAGACTCTGCAGGCAAGACTGAGGTAAGTTTGGCAGCTCATAGGTTGCTTGATCTGGCATTATAATTAGAAAATGTTGTTTGTAGGAATATAAGTATTTATTTACCTATTGGGCTGATTGTCCCGACAGTATAAGCTTTATTATCCTGTCATAAAGGTTTGTTGTTAAATTAATTTGGGACTTTATTAAATACTTATGCTTTATTAGTTACATATTTAAATCTTTGAATGACTGTGTAAAAGTGATCTTATAGATGTGAATTGATATTTAGGAATTTAATATGAAAACAGATTTAGAATTTGTAAATCAGTTATTTTAACACATCCCTAATCAATTCCAATTTAAAGTGTTCAGTATCACTATTTACTCTCTATGATTTGCAATCTGATTATATCTAAGTGGTGTTAAAAACATTGCAAATGTGTTGAGGAAAATTAAATATGTGTTTGGTCTACCTCTGGGTTCCTGCAGATCCTTGAAAAGTCTTAAAAGGCATTGAAGTCTTCAATATAAAATCAAGGCCTTTATTGATATTAAAATGTCTTAAATCAGTCTTTCATAGGTCTTAAAATTGTTGCCACTAATAAATATAATTTTATTTTTGTAATCCATGTCAAACAATAAAATAATTGGAGGGAATGTAGATAAAGCACAATGGGAATCAAGGCAGTGGAGACACATGTGCAAAGCATGAAACTCGAAGCGTCAAAATCAAGTTATGGAGACGCAGCATCTATTTCTCCGTTCTGTTCCACCCTTGTCTCTGCAACGCCTCCACAGCATCTCTCACATCACCAACAACACCAGTAGAACCAAATCTCAGGATAATTCTTGGCGGTACGCCAACTATGAAAGTAGAAGGATTGAGTAGGGAAAAAAAACAAAGTTAGTGAATGAAGTTCAGGGGTTGTTAAAAATATATCTGTTGTTTGTTTTTAGCTTTCTTCCTATATGGAAAGTTTTTCAAAGTTTGAAACATATCTTCTGGGCCAGAAAGTAATGGGGTAAATTTGTCGTTACCAGGTTTTTCTTGTGTTTATTGTCAAGTTGGTTTTAAATTTTTATTTTAAGTGGCATTAAAAAGTCTTGAATTTAGCTTGCCTTATGCTGTAGGAACCTGTATCTGTAGAGTTGGAAATCTGAACACAATACCTATTGATGCCCAGTGGATACACAATAATTGACGAGACATCTCTCAGAATAAAGTAACATACAAAATATATGTAAGAATTAAGTTTTATTGTTTTTTGTCAATTTTCCTGAGGAAAAATTAGCTTTGGTTATTTGGTTGATTAGTTTGCCGTATGGGTCAGTAGGTTTTCTCTGCAGTGTGATGTTTTTTTGTTTTTTGTCAATGTTTCACAGTTAATTGCACTTGCTGTGGTCATTCAGCTGTAAAATGTCCTTCATCATTCAAATAACAATAATCATAACTCTCCAGTGATATTTCACTATAGCTTGCTTATGTTTTGTCCTGACAGCTGACATGCTTTTTACCGGTTAGATTTTAGTTCTCACGCTGAGGTGTGTAAGGCATAAAGCATGTGAGCTGTCTAAATATTACTTTTGTGATATAACAGAAACATTGCAGGGCATGTAAGTAGTATTCTAATACTCTTTGCGAATAGTCAAACTTAAAGCTGTGGTTCTGTATCTCAATAAGCCCGGTAGTTTTTTATTACCAGATCTTAATAGCATATTGGACTGTGTTTGCATAAGAAGATCTGTTTGCAAAACAGTCATTGTGCACAGAACGTGTTGGAGCAAACCTCAAACAGGGTTCTGACGACATGCTGTAGAGAACAAAACCACCTGATAAAAAAATTACTAGCCCAAAAATCATTTGTTGCATTGCCCTTGAGTGTTTTTTTCTTTTTTCAGTACAAAATACCTCCTTAAGAGGCTCTTACCTTTGTAACTTTTAACAGAACGAGTTTTTTCACTGACTGATGGGAGTGGGGTACTCATAGACCCACAACATATATTTATTTCGTTCCTCTTAAATGTTTAGTTATATGTTCACAATTATTCTGCAGGTCAGATTCACTTAAAAATTGGACATTTATTTTTTTTCTCAGACTTTTCAGTTGTTTTTCAGGAAGGAAATCGCAAAGTACATGTTAAAAACTTACAAAATTAGGTATTAATTATTTTGATATATACTGACACTTATTAGTTTTGTTCTAGAAAGCTCACATGGAATTTCACTTTTCCAAGAATAATGTTCAAATTGCTAAAAATGGCATATTACTGAGACATTACAGTTCCCTGTTTTTCATGTACATTCCGGTTTGCTTATTCTGTTCAATTCTTAAACAGAAAAACTGACTTTTTCCACAAAAGTCATTCTATGAAATATTTTAACAGTAGATGTCCTTCTACATCCTCTGCTATTAGCTATTGACTGTTTTTAATTTCTGTGAATTTTTGTTTTTGTAAAATTATTGGGTAAAATCTCATGTTCTATTTAATAGTGCTTCAGCAAAATGTATGTTTAAGTTTTGAAAGGAATCATTTGTTGTACTGCTTTAACCAATGCATATTGCAGAGACAGCTTGTTAATGTGCAGCCAATCCTCTAACTCACAGCTTTTGTTTCCCTCTAGTTGTCACCACCTCCCCAGTACATCGACGAACGTCTCACTTTGTATGCAAAGCTGAAAGCTGAGCATGATGCTTTAATTGCAGAAAGGGCAGCGAAGGATAGCAAGCCTATCAAGGTGACCCTGCCTGATGGAAAGGTGGTGGAGGCGGAGTCCTGGAAGACCACGCCGTACCAAGTGGCATGTGGAATTAGGTCAGGATAATGATAGGTCTGCTGTAATTGTAGTGGCGTTACAATTAATTGGAATGAGGCATATAAAAAGGGGGTAACCAAAATTTGATTGGTGAAGCTGCACTTTGATGTGCAGCTATTTAACGTGTGATTATTGTTGCTCTCTTTAAATGGGTGCAAATCACATGTTATTAAAATCAGGGATAAAATCAACTGCAACGAAAAGGATTGAAAAGATTTCATAAGAAACGTTAAACACATTTAGTTTTCTCTAGTGATTTAATTTTAATCAGCATGTTGCAATATAAAGCAGATGCCTGTATTAAAGCTTGAAAATCTCAACAAAGCAACCATGGCTATTACAGCCAGCAACATTGTGTCTTTGATGTCTTCATTTAATAAAATGTTGATATAGTGTCATTCTATTGAAATTTCAATTGCAATTAACTCTCAAAAAAGCTTTTTCACTCTTTTCTACATGTTAACATTTTCTAATTATCTACATTTTTTAAATATCTGGGATTTCTTCACTTTTAAAATAAAATACTATTCCAATTATATGCTATGGTTGAATCTGTGCGAGTGATTTAGATGTTTCTAACTATGACCACTCTCACTTTTCTGAGCAGTTTTATAGGGATTTCTACAGCTAATGCAGCCATTCCGCCATTGAAATGAACGTCTGTACTCTACTTTGATGTGGAATATTTTATGTTTTATGGTGCAGCCAAGGCCTTGCTGACAACACAGTGATTGCCAAAGTAAACAACGGCGTGTGGGACCTTGATAGACCTTTGGAGGATGACTGCAGCCTTCAGTTGCTCAAGTTTGATGACGAGGAGGCACAAGCTGTAAGTAGAAAGAAAACAACAACCCTGGTCTGATTTTTAGAGAACTTTGGTGTTATGAAAGTATTTTTTAGCAGCCAAGTTATACTCGTCTGTCTGATGTATTCCTCTTTTGTCATTGCAAGCCTTTGGGAATAAACAGAATTTGAACATCTGCTGCATTATTTGTTGATTATCTTCTGTTTATTTTATTTTTTTGTGCTTGGAATTGTAATAACTTGCAATTCTCTAAAATCATATTTTAATGTTGCTTTTATGCATAATAGGTTTATTTAGCCTTGAAATGTTTATTGGTGATAACATAGTTTTTACATTTTAGCTTCTAACTTTGTTATGAAAACTTGAAGGTTTACTGGCATTCCAGCGCCCACATCCTCGGAGAAGCCATGGAGCGAGTGTACGGAGGCTGCCTCTGCTACGGTCCACCGATTGAAAATGGCTTCTACTACGATATGTTTCTGGAGAACGAGTGAGTTGTTCATGTTTTGGCTTTCTTTTTGTTGCATAGTTTTGCCGTTAATACTTTTCAGGGTGTAACGGGTGTCTAGCAGGTTTTAAAAGATTGTTTGACGACTTATGTGGTCAGACTGGGTTTTACTCGGGTGTGGATATTTTCTTTGTTTTTCTAATATGTACTGCTGGAATAGCAAATGTGGAGTAAACTATTTAAATTGCAAATCCATAAGTTTTTTCAGTGTAGCTCTGAAACAATTTTTAGAAAAAAAATTCAGATAAATAACTTTTTTATTTGACTTCTCTTTGCTTCAGCTGCTTTTCTTGCTGCTTTAACCCACAGAAGTTTAAATATATATATATTTTAAATAAATCTACAACCTCTCTAATGAAGTCAGTTTATGCTAATGGAGACCTTGGAGACAGCTGGTCCAACATATTTTAACATTGCTGTAGGTCTAAAACCAAGGACATATATCTTTTGTTCTTCCTTTGAAAAAGTGTCTTTCTTACAGAGTCAGAGTTTTTTATGCAATCTGGATTGTGTACAATTTTATTTTACTGTTTTCCAGGTTTGAAGCAGAGTAGTAAAGGGGTATTTTTCCAGTCTCTATTAATTTGTCATAGAAAAATCCCATTATGAACAGTCTGCTACATGAATGTTTTCTGAAAACATGTTGAATTTTTATTATTCTCCAAAAACTGGGAAAGAAAATGATAAAAGTTTGGAAAATGACATAAACTTTAAAACAACTTAGCACCAGCATACTTAGCTGGTTTATTTGAATACAGTTTATTACTCTCGATTGAGAAAATTAAGGATGATATAACATTTTTTAACAGGGGTGTATCAAGCAATGACTTTCCCTGTCTGGAAAACCTCTGCAAGAAAATCATCAAGGAGAAGCAGCCGTTTGAAAGGCTAGAAATAAAGAAGGAAACTCTGCTGGAAATGTTTAAGGTAGGGTATCGCACAAGAGGGTACACAAGTAGCTGCAAAAGAAAAAAATCCAGATATGAAGAATTCTGTTGCATCCTTTACAGTACAACAAGTTTAAGTGCCGCATTCTGAATGAGAAAGTCACCACTCCCACAACCACAGTTTACAGGTGAGCCCAATGTTGGATAGCTTCCATATTTTACTAATGTATTCTGTTTTATTTCTGTAATTTGCTGCAACTTCTAAAAGAAAACCTGAAATGCATGAAAGACCAGCACCATACTTGAAATGTTTGAAATTTGTGTTAATATTACCCATGTTAACGTAAATCATTGACTATCTACTTTATTGTGAGCCTGTTTTCTGTATATTAGATAACTTGAAATCTACTCAGAGTTCTGATACAATCTATATAGATTTATATGAAGAGTTAAAACTATCAGATGTTTTACAATTAATGTATTTTGTGATAATTCTTTTTTTAAATTTTATTGGATGAATTGACAGTGGAAGAACAATTGAAGTGTTCATATTTACTGAAACAGGTTTCACAACTATAAAATTTCAGATGTGGTCCTTTAATCGATTTGTGTCGGGGTCCTCATGTGAGACACACTGGGAAGATCAAAGCCCTTAAAATCCACAAGGTTTGTTCCCCTGCTGTTTCTCTAAAGACGAAAAAGCTATGCATCACATCTCATGTTGTTAACCAACTATATTTAGTTTGTTCCAACTCCCAGGACGCAGTTACTCTGTGTCTTTTTCTCATGGGATTTGGTGGACTGCAGTTATATTCTCCCTTTGTTTGGTGTGCTAGAATTCTTCTACCTACTGGGAGGGAAAGGCAGACATGGAAACCCTCCAGAGGATCTATGGAATCTCCTTTCCTGACCCCAAAATGCTCAAAGAGTGGGAGAAGTTTCAGGAGGAAGCCAAGAACAGAGATCACCGCAAACTGGGCCGGGTAGGAAGTAAAATAAAAAAGTAGTGTTGGTGGGATAAAAGGGTTTAATATGATCTAGTATTTTACAAAATTAAATGGTTTTCATAAAAGTGTCAGTATTTAATAGCCTTATTGCTTTACAATAGTGATAAAACTATTTTTATTATATACCGATGCTGGTATGGAAGGATAGGTTTACTTGACAAATCAGTCTACTCATTACTCCATTTGACATATTGTGTTGCATTGTAGCAGAAAATATATAGATATATTTAGCGCTGTTAAGCAGTCGTAGCTACAGGGTGTGTTCTTGTTTCTGTGCGCTCCTTGTAATTATGCTTGTGGAAAAGCAAGCCGAACAGGAGCACAAAGGCAGACCAGAACCGGTGTATAATGAGGTGTTGCATTATGTCAAAGAGAAACCAGTTTGACCTCTGAGTTACCCATTTCAAATTTTCCATCTTTCTTAACAAAACCTTTTTTTCTGTATTTATCAGGAGCAGGAGCTGTTCTTCTTCCACGAGCTCAGTCCAGGAAGCTGCTTTTTCCTGCCTAAAGGGGCCTTCATCTACAACGCACTGATTGAGTTCATCAGAGTGAGTTCGAGCCGACAGGCCAACATCGGATAATTGCTTTGATCTCGCTCCAAGCTTTGAGAGGAAATGTTCTGGGTATTAGGCAGAGAGTTCAGTTTTGCAGGAAAACCTTAAGAGAATACAATGATATGACTGAGCAGCAATATTCCTTTAAAAAGAAGAGAAAATGCAGAAAGCTTCGACTTTTAACACGTATGTTTTCCCTGTCTTATTTATGTATCTGATTAATGCCCTCATATAAATGTACCGTTTACTGAGCTGGGAAAACAATTTAAGGTGCTATTTTTAATTATATTCTCAATTCAAATTAGTTTTTTTCTAAAACTAACTAGATTTATTCATCATTGTTATACCATGATCACTGAACATGATCTCTGCGTCTTTATAAAGCTTTTCAGCAGAGGGAAGCATGAAATGCTCACAGACTCTAGAAGCTTCACACCAATGATCCTCTGGTCCTCTTCATTCTCCATTCAGATTTTATGGCCTTGATTTCAAAATTAAATCCCAAAGTTATTTTAATTTGAGAATGTGAAAAGCTTTCTGTCTTTTTTTTCCTTCTCAGCCTTTAGAAAGACACCTCTGACCATTCATTTGTACATAATGAAAAGCTGAAGCAACAGTTGTAGGTGCATGTGCTGGATATGTCTTCATATTTACTCTTTAAGCTCTGTCTGACATTTTGCAAATGTCTTCATAACCCATAATTGGCTTAGCTTCTCGGATTTAAGGATGTTAATGTCCCAATTTCCTGTCCTCCTTCTCCTGCCTCACTTTTTCCTTCCACTCACTCTTCTATTATTGTGCTACGATATGCTTATGCAATTAACTGTGGTGACTTACCCCTGATGTAGAGGGAATCCATGACTGTCTACAGGAAAACTATCAAACAGGCTTCCTCGTGATCTTCTAGGGCACAGCTAAACATTCTTGTATTTAAAATACTTGTACAATCAAAGATACACAAACTAATCACTAAAATAAATATACGTAAAGCATAAATACTTCATTGCCTTGTAAAAGATCGAGGGCAAACACGTCCTCAGATGGGTTCAAGTGACACAAAGTTGGTTTTAATAAAAAACCTGATAATAAACTTAGAAATGTTTTGCATTAATCTTTTATGTAGACGGATCAAGGTATTAAATGTTATACCGCTCATTAATATAAAATGCATAACCAAAAATAATAATGTAAAGCCTTAGAAGTAAGCTCACATATGCATAATAAACAAAATCTTTTTTTAAAAATGACTATTTCAGTTTTTCATGCTAGGTTTAGTAATTATGGCCGCCTGCATGAATTTAATTGGTAAGCTCATGTACTTGGTGTTGGCTTTTTAGGGATCTCTTTGACCTGACTATGTTCATACTCAGTTTTTAATTTTGGATTTACTGCACAGAAAAATATACAAAAAAAGCTCCTGAAGATTTCCAACACAGAAAGCAGA